GAATGGAATGCCATAATTAAAACCCTAATTGGACATCCTAATTCTGAAGTGAGAACCAACTTTGAAACCCTGGTCGTAAAGTTAAACCCTAAATTTAAGTCCAAACTTGGAACCCTAATTTGAAACCCTACCCATAAACTAAGTTGGAAAACAAACTTGAAACATTTGAATTTCGGCATTCAATTCAACCCTAATTTGAAACCTGAACCCTAACTTCAAACCCTAATTTGACATCCTCAGCCTAAAGTGAAACCCTCATTTGAAATCTGAGCTCGATCAGCATTTAGCACTATTCACTACTTCACACATGACATTTCAACTGTTTTGTGTCCTTTTGCCAACAACAAAACAGAATGACACCGAACTACTATATGTCAGCTCCCCCCCCCCCCCAAAAAAAAAGAACACATTCCCCACACCTGAAAATGACTTTTTGCGATCCCTTCGGCTGGCCGCAATCTGAGGCAAGCATCACAGCATTTGTGTTTTGTGTCCCATTTCTCGGGGCGTCTGTCTGTGTTTACGACGATTCAACTGTCAGCGGGTTCCCATCATGTTTTGCTGCAAGCGAGTACAGTGCAAACTCTTGACATGAAACCATGCTGTTGCAATCAATCAATAAATAAATGCTTCCCTCTTGAGTCTGGCCTCCATGAGTCTTTCCCAGAACTTCATTTTCCGTAACTTAAACATCATACCAAAAACCATACGAGCCATACAAAAAGCCCGACACACATTCAATCAACAACCACACCAACGACTGTATAAATCATCAATATTTTCTAGGACTGTTCTTGAATTAATTTTCTGAAATTTGTTATTTCAGAAGTCTGTCTCATCTTGGTATCCACTTTGCGTTGTGCTGGAGCTCTCAGTTTCAATAAGTGCGCCCTGGTGTTCCATCAGCAATAGAAAACAATGAGCTTTACAATAACAAACAATTTCATCAACAGTACATCCCTCAAAATGACTGCAATTACATCAAACCACCACTAGATGTCAACGCCGCCTTCTGAAAGAGCATCTTGCGAACCGTTGGCCATTCTGTTGAGCTGTTCAACCTGAATCTTTTATTTATTAATTTTTAACGACCATGTATAGTCAGGCTTTGTCTTTTTTTTTTAATGACAATGTATAGTAAGGCGTTTTTTTTAAAAGGACCAGGGATAGAGTAAGGTGTTTTTTTTTTCAACAAGCATGTGGAGTCAGGCTTTTTTTTACTACTATGTAAAGTAAGGCTTTTAATTTCTTTTGAAACGACCATGAATAGGAAGGCGTTTCTTTCATGACCAGATATATAGTAAGGCTTTCTTTTTTTTTGAACGACCAAGTATATCGTTTTTTTGTTTTTTTTTAAACGACCATGTATAGTAAGGCATTTTTTTAACGACCAGCTATACAGTACTTTTTGTTTTTAATCACCATGTATAGTAAGGCATTTTTTGAATGACCAGGTACTTAGCAAGGTGTTTTTTTTAAACGACCATGTAAAGGAAGGCTTCCTCTTTAAAAAAAAAAAAAAAAAAATTAATGACAATGTATAACGTATATAGTAAGGCGTTTTTTTTAAACGACCATGTATAGTAAGGCATTTTTTTTTGAACGACCAAGTATATCGTTTTTTTGTTTTTTTTTAAACGACCATGTATAGTCAGGCATTTTTTTAACGACCAGGTATACAATACTTTTTGTTTTTAATCACCATGTATAGTAAGGCATTTTTTGAATGACCAGGTACTAAGCAAGGTGGGTTTTTTTTTTAACGACCATGTAAAGGAAGGCTTCCTCTTTTAAAAATAAAAATAAAATTAATGACAATGTATAGTAAGGCTTTTTTTTTAAACGACCATGTATAGTAAGGCATTTTTTTTGAACGACCAAGTACATGGTTTTTTTGTTTTTTTTTTAAACGACCATGTATAGTAAGGCATTTTTTTAACGACCAGCTATACAGTACTTTTTGTTTTTAATCACCATGTATAGTCAGGCATTTTTTGAATGACCAGATATATAGTAAGGCTTTCTTTTTTTTTGAACGATCAAGTATATAGTTTTTTTGTTTTTAAACGACCATGTATAGTAAGGCATTTTTTGAATGACCAGGTACTTAGCAAGGTGTTTTTTTTAACGACCATGTAAAGAAAGGCTTCCTCTTTAAAAAAATAAAAATAAAAAAATAATGACAATGTATAGTAAGGCGTTTTTTTTAAACGACCATGTATAGTAAGGCATTTTTTTTTGAACGACCAAGTATATCGTTTTTTTGTTTTTTTTTTAAACGACCATGTATAGTAAGGCATTTTTTTAACGACCAGCTATACAGTACTTTTTGTTTTTAATCACCATGTACAGTAAGGCATTTTTTGAATGACCAGGTACTTAGCAAGGTAATTTTTTTTTTATGACCATGTATAGTAAAGCTTTCCTCGTTTTTTTTCAACCATGTATAGAAGGCGTTTTTTGAAAAAACAGGTATTTCGTAAGGTGTTTTATTTTTTTGACCAACTAGTTCAAAACCCTAACCCTCGTTTGAAAGTCGACATTCAAACCCTAACCCGATTTTGAAACCCTAGTTAGAAACCCTATCCCCAGTTTGACACCCTAATTTGAAACCATAACCCTTTTTTGAAACTCTAGTTTGAAACCCAAACCGTATTTTCAAACCCTAACCCTAGTTTGAAACCTTACTTCAAAACCCTAACCCTAGTTTGAAACCCTAGTTTGAAACCCTAACCATAGTTTTGAAACCCTAATTTGAAACTCTAACCATAGTTTGAAACGCTATTTTGAAACTCTAGTTTGAAACCCTAAACCTTGTTTGAAACCCTCAACCTAGTTTGACACCCTATTTTGACACCCTAACCCTAGTTTGATATCCCCCTTTGACACCCTAACACTAGTTTGATACCCTACTTTGAAGCCCTAACCCTAAGTTTGAAACCCTCAACTTAGTTTGACACCCTACTTTGAAACCCTCATTCGAGTTTGAAAGCCTAGTTTGAAACGCAAGTTTGAAACCCCAACCCTAGTTTGAAAGCCGAAAACATGTTTGACACCCTACTAGAAGATCCAGAACAAGACTATCTGTCATCATGTGCCGGGCCACCAATGAGCTCTTATCTGCATCCCGTCTTCAAGCGAGACCCATCTCGCTTGAAGACGTTTTGGCACATCCGTCCCCTGTCTGTCTGGGCTGCAAAACGCCACCCGGCCCCCGGGGGCTGTTTTCTTGTCAAAACATGCAAGTCATGTCAGATTAAATCATTCCAAGACTCCGAGTGGATACGCCGACTGGCCACAACATTAGGGACACCAGCTTGATAGTCTTCATTCTACAACATTCAGTGCAGTTGACTGATGCTTCGAAAGTTGCCAACATGACAGGAATTTTAAAAAAAAAACCTTCAAATCCTGAAACTGAAAATTTGAAACCCTTATGTCAAACCAACAACAAACATTTCTGTCCAAAATTTAGAATAAATACTCAGGTCAAATCATCAAAACTGACTTTCGATGATTATGTCCTGTAATACATGTGATACATTAATCACCATTTCATATTTTGAACAATAGTGCGTTTCACACAAGATGAGGAAAAAAGATCAAATAATGCGCTCGCGCATGACTAAAAACAAAACAAAAAACAAAACACTGAGGAGTGGAGACGTTTTCAGTCAGTGGACTCTGAGCCTCCACGTTGGAAGCTGACCAAGTCACTGCAGGACAAATGTCGCGTAGCGTGCTTGCATCCGCTTGCAGCAAACACGCAGGAATGCACGCCCTCCCCCCCACCCCCCCACTCACTCAAAACACACACAAGCACACACACAAACACACACCCGACTCTCCATGACATTCACTTTTAATACTATTGTTTGTTATTATAGTTTGCTGTGTAAAATAAAAAAAAGACGACTGTTGCGGGACTTTAAAATTTCAAGGCAACAAAATTCGATACCATTTCAAGTTGGACAGTTGGACTAAATATTTGAAGTTTTGCTTCCGGCATTTCGCAACCAAGAAATATGAGTTTACATCAGGGCTGTCTCTTCTTTTTGAATCCCAACTTCAAGATAGCTTCACCTTCAAACACATTTCTGACATTTAATTAGGGTTGGGGTTCTGAGTTTAGGATTAAAGTTAGGGTTCCAAATTTGAGTTTAAAATTGGGAGCGCGAATTCGGGAATCAGGTCAAGGTTAGGGTTTGAATTAAAAATCAGGCGTTGAAATGAGTGTTCAGATTTGGGAATTGAAGTTAGGGTTGTAAATTAGGATTCCGAGGAGTGTCTTGGTCACCACTCGCTGACGGACCCTTTGGTGTGTTTGTGAATTCCAGCTTGTCGCGACACGCCGCAGAAAACCAACAATGTTGCACCTGTGGCCGGAAGGGCAGACACAGCTTGCTGTTGTGTCATTGGGACATGTTGGGACAAGGACGGGAGCGCCGAGTCAAAATAACACTGCAGGGCCTGCTGGGAACAACGCATCCTCACAACTCACCGAGAAGAGAAAACAACATGAGATGTCGTAGAATACAGCAGATACTCAAATGCATCTGGTTTCATTTGCACATGCATTTAGTCATCATATTTTACCCATGTTATCATTTTATAAATTTACATTTATGTAACACATTGTGATAAGTGTTCCCTTTATTTTCTTAGCAGTGTTTTAATATTTTTTATACATACATATATATATATATATATATGACTTTCCACTTCTCTACGATGAATGCATGAATGCAATGTTTGTATGATCAACAATATCACGATACAGCGAAAGATACACAGCAATTTGTTATCGTCTCAGAGTTTCCATCTCTTTCTCCGGGTATCGACGTTTTGCACATGATATCAACGATATCATGAACAGTATCACTAAGTATAATTTCTTTCAAAACAAACCAAAAAAATACTCATCAAGTGTCGGTGTATTGGAAGTCTTGAATAGATGTTTGTTAAAAAAAAGACAACAAACCAGTTTGTTTGATAAAAAGTGTGTTTATTTTCCTTAAGAAAATCGAGAACAGCAACAAAGTTAAAAACAATATATATTTGTCAATCAATTGAGCTAGGAAATAAATAGAATTTGGATTTTGGCGACATTTCAAGGAGAATCTCTTGAGCTCCAGTTAGTTACTGTTGACTAAGGCCTTGAGGTGTTCCTGGAGGTCCGCAGCAAAATGGTCCAGCTTCTCCTTCAGGTCTTCGGCGTAGGGGGCCACCACGCGGTGCACCTCTCTGCTTCCTTCGTAAAGGTCTTGCTGCACCCTCTGGGCCACGGGGCTGATGTTGTGCTGCAAGGCCATCAGGTGCTGGTCAACCTGCTGCAGCATTTCCTTGGTGAAGGGGTCCAGATTGCTCTCCACATTGCTGATGCTATGCATCAGGCCGTTTATCAGCCCCTTGCTGTGCTGCTGCAGGGTGGCTCTCAGCTTGTGGGCATCGACGCCGTCGGCGTAAGCGGTCAGCTCCTGCTTCAACTGATTCACCTTCTCCTGGATCTGGGACTTCACGCTGTCGGATAACAGATCAATCTTCTCGCTGACCGCACTCAGGTCCTGGCTCAGCACGTTTTTCAGGACGCCGGCCTCGGCGCTGATCTTGTCCATCAGGTCCTGGGCGGGCAAGGGAAGCTTCTCCTTCAGGTTACTGGCGAATCTGCTGGCCACGTCGGCGGTTTCGGCCAAGTGAGCGCTGCAAAGGCGGACCAGATGATCAGATCACAGACTTGAGTCAGCCTCACCAGAGCGATGCGATCACGATACAGCAACGGTACCAAAATCAATATACTAGCTCGCATTCGAGGGAGTTAATAAAGTGTCACAATATGGAACCCATGATATCAAGATATGGCCATTGTGCCAATGACGTAAATGTCCAATTATATCAACAGCAACACGGCACAAGCAAGGGCGCCAAAGGTCACAGGATGTAACCCGTAATATCGACAGTATCATGATCCAGGAATATTGCCTATGGCGGATGTCTAATGATATCAACTGTATCAGGGTGCAGTACGGATGCCACAGACAAGACTTAATTAAATAAAGTATTTCATCGAAGAGACCTATGATATCATGATACAGCATTTATGGCAATAGCGCATGGTATTAATAGTATCATGATACAGCAATGATGCCAAAACCGATGCGTGATATGCATCCTAGTGTTGGCAATCACGAGCGTCACAACCCAAAAATTAGTCCAATGCCTATGCTGTGTCTCTGAAGTCATGAATGAAAAGCATTTTTTTAATTGGAAAATGTAAACAATGACAAATACATTAAAAAAAAAGTTCATATCACGAACAACTTAAAAATACAATCACTTTCTGTTATTTTACAATTGGCTATAGTCATCGCTTATTTTTCCTGCATTCTATTCGTACCATCAATAACACAAACTGTTGGATCCTTTAATAAAGTGGATTTGCGGCGCAACTTACTTGACTTCAGCTCCAAAGTCCGACTTCACCACCATCTCCAGGGTGTCGTCTGCAAGTTTACTGGCCTTGCCGATGTAGTCCCAGAAAGCGTCGGTCAGAGCCTCCAACCGAGGCTTGGGTGCGTCAGCATGGAAGAAGTTGGCATTGCAGCCTATTGGGAGGGGGGCCGAATGGGGTTATTGGGAGACTGATTACAGATAGCTTTCGAAAATCACTGCCGCACAAAATCACCAGTATCACGATACCACAACTACGAATATCCAATTTGTGGCTACTTATATTTGCATACCTGAAGAAATTTAAAAAATACATACATACAAAGGTCTACAATGAATTAAAAATTTGGATTTTTATTCATTTTTTTCTACTATGAACAATATTTTGGACATGATATCAACAGTATCACGAAACAGTAACTGTGGATTTGAGTTGCATGCTGATAGTTTTACCAATGAGTATAATTTTTTTTTTTTTTTTAAAGTGGCTCAAACATTGTGTTTTTAGTTTGGAGGTTGCACTTACCAGAAACTAGCGCCAAAGCGAACAAAACAAAGACCCTCATGACTGCGGGAAACACAAACGGGATTTCGGTTGAAGTTCAAAAAAAATGCCAACACATTTAAACTTCTCTTCAATTAGAAAGCCTGCTAAATCCTCACCTGCTCTTTTGTGTCTCTTTGTGGACTGTGTTCTGGTTGACCGCATCTGCGCTGCCTATTTATATCGAAGAAGTGTAACACTCAAAGAGGCGAAGTCCAGGAGTCCCTGCCATGTTGTCACAAACGCGTCACATGACTTCGGCTAGCTAACAATGCGATGTGAAAACGAGTTTAAAGACGGACCTGAGCTATTTTTTTGTATGCTTTCACGTTGGAGTAGTGACAACCGCTTTCTGAAAAGTAGTGAGGACATCCTGCGGTGAGTGTTCATGCCGCCACTGGCGTCCCGATAACACCGGACAAACATGGGAAGATGGTACTGCTGGACTTTGTAACAAGGTCCCGCCAGGTGTGTCTTTTACTGATTTCGTCGTCAGGATAAGAGAAAAAAAGGGGGTGGGGACAATCTTAGAAACGAGAAGCACACTTTGACACCATGATCCGACCATGCAAAAAAAGCTTCTCAATTTGGCATCGCCCTTCTATCTGTTGTCCCCCACTTGTAATTGGGGCTCCATTTTGGGCAAGTCCTAAATGGTAGCTTCAAAACAAAATGTCTGACTTCCTATTCAACTTTGAAAGCTTTTTTTGTGCGTCATTCTAGACACGTCCACTCCATTTCATGTTGCTTGTTGAAACGTATATTTTTCTAACTCTCCAGGTGGCGCCACTGAGTGACTTTTGAGCAACGCTGAATCAATCGTTTTTATTTGCCAGTCCAAATTTCGAGTCACGCGTCTTCAACGCAAGGCAAGGCGAGGCCAAGCGTGGCAGCTTCATTTCTGGAGCAGTTCTCATACACAAGGCAATTCAATGTGCTTCACACACACACACAAAAAAAAAAACAACACCGACAAGCATTTACAAAAAAAAAAAAAACCCTGTCTTTTGAGTGCTCCCTGAACATCACTGGCACTGCTCCTTCCCGGTTAAAATCACACCTCACTGACTGCCACCAGTTCATGATCATTAATACATCTCAGTCCAACATAGCCCCAGTCCCCCGAGGTGTCCCCCAAGGCTTGGTGCTTGGCCCCCCTCCTCTTTCTCCTTGACATGCTTCCCCTTGGTCACATCATACGCTACCATGGTCTCAATTTCCACCGCGATGCCGATGACACGCAGCTCTGCATCTCCACCAAATTCACCAAAAAGTATTCAAGTAGGGAATCAAAGACAAAAATGGCTGCCGATGATGCTAAAACGTACATCATGGGCAGTGCGACTTTGACTTTGTGGTGAGTCAGGCATTACGGAGACGTCGAAATCTAAGACGCCCCCTGTGGCTCCGTGTTTGGTTCTGACGTCATTTTACATTGAAGGCCAACACCTGAAGAGGCTGACGATGGCACAGTCTACTGACCCTTGGTCAGACTTACTCATGGCGGCTATCATGGGAACTTTGACCCAGAAACTGAAGGTATGCGAGGTGAGCAGGCAGGGCGAACACCAATGGCAGAGTCTGAGGCTTTTTTTTTCTTTCCCTTCTTCTTTTTTTTTTTTTTTTTTGCCGCTATCTTATCAGCTATGCATCAGAACCTCCAGATAAAAGGTTGGTTTGGAGTTGAAAATCATGAGAAAGAACACGAAATCTAGTGACACGTTCTGAATAGGGTTATGCCCTCAGGATGCGTGCTTTTGCTTAGGACATCAGCGGAGATAGTGAGTGACAGCAAGGCACATGCGGCCTGGACTTTGGGATTATTAGTGTCCGCTTTGCTATAAAAGCGGCGGCGGCACATCGGTTGAGCAGAAGCACTGCAGAGTTTTAACTGGCAGACACTCTCACAGGTAAGAAAGAGCAGACCCTCCGAGCGCCGTCGTCGTCGGCGCCATCATCCTCCCAGCTGGATTCGGATGCGCATCGCTCACGTAACCGCTGTATTTTGTCACTCTAGATCCAACAACCATGAAAGTCCTCGCTGTCCTGGTCCTGGCCGCTTTTACTGGTGAGTGCAGAGTCACCCATTCGCAGAGGACAAAGCATTTGGCTTTCAGAGAAGGATGATCCGGGGGGAGCGGGGGGCGGGGGCTGAATTTTCTTTCGAGTGACCTTTAAAGTTTTCTCTGGAGGAGGAACGGTTTGGGTGGGCTTCGTGAGTCTTTTTTTGGGGGGGAAACATTAAAGCTCCACGGTGTGCTTTTCTGAACACAGCTTGTTTGGGCTTGTCCTTCTTTCGAAGGAAACCTCAAAAAGCCAAAGAAAAAGTAAAACGTATTTCATATCTTCAACTTGGGTCCTGCATCAAGTCAGGCCAACCGTGTTTGCCAAACTATACGACTATGAACACGCTTGAACACGCAGGGTCTGATTGATGGATCAAAGAGATCCGTGACTCAGGCCCTTCGTTCCGGGCAACACGAAGAGCAACGCCGCAGTTCCGTTGGTCGAATTTTGTTGGCTCGTTGAAACAAAAATGACTGTCGCTTGCTCTCCGTCCGCGCTCCAGGCTGCAACGCCAACCTCTTCTACGCTGATGCGCCCAAGCCCCAGCTGGAGGTGATGATTGACGCCTTCTGGGACTACGTCGCCAAGGTCACTCAGACCGCCGACAACACGATCCAGATGATCAAGAAGTCTCAATTGGGACAGGACTTTAGGTACGCCTCAAGGCCCTTCCGCGAACCCCCGAGGCAAACGGTGCGATCTCACGGCTCTGTGTCCCGCTTTCCTCCAGCGCCCGACTGGCTGACGGCACCGACATGGCCAACCAGTATGCCGTCACCCTGCACGACCAGCTCCCCCCCGCGGCCAAGGAACTGATTGCCAAGGTGAGCGCCGAGGCCGACATGCTGCAGGAGCGCGTGACCCAGGAGCTGAACAGCGTCCGCGAGAAGGTGGAGCCCTACGCCAGCAACGTGAAGGTCCAGATCCAGGAAAGAATGGCGCTGATCCAATCGGAGCTCAACCAACTTCTCGCCATGGATGCCGAGACCATGAAGACCGAACTCGTGAGGAGGAGCGAGGAGCTCAAGGCCAACCTGGATCAGGCCGTCGCTGATCTTCAGGCCCAGCTGGAGCCCCACACGGGTGACCTGATGCAGAAGGTGGACCAGCACCTGAACACCTTCAAGGAGACCGTGTCCCCGATGGCTGAGAAGCTGCAGACCGAGCTGATCCAGAGAGCCCAGCAGATGAAAGACCTGGCCTCCCCTTACATCACAGAGCTGAGGGATACCCTGAACCCCTACACCCAGGACCTCCAGGCTCGTCTGCTTGCCCTCTACGAGTCTTTTGTGAAAACCAACTAAGTCTGCCGCCGAATCAACAACAAACTGTTTTCACAAGTACGCAGCCCTCTCAGGAGGGCGGCAAGTCGGTCAACAGAGGGGCAACACACGCTCATCGGTATCTGAAAATGTTCATGGGTTACAGTAGTACTCGGTGTTGGTCTGTACCACGCAGTCTTCCATAACTGTCAAAATAAAGCCCTTCTAAAAAAAAAAAAGCTGACATGTGACTTACTGCCTTGCCTTGCCTTGTGAGCGGTTGTATTGGGACCATCATTGTTGGTATGCACGTGGGCTCAACACTTAAAGCAAGGAATCTGTTGTTTTTGGTTCGGATCCAAATACTAATTCCTCTGGTGTGAAGGGTACAGCCAGCCCACCCCTGAATAAACCAGGCTGCCCATCGGTAACGTTGTACGGCGCCCGCACAAACCAGGAAGTAGCCTGCCAACAAGCAAGCAGAAACACCAAGACTAAAACTATTGCTCGCTGATCTTTTTTTTTTTTTCTTTCCCCCCTGGAACACCACACGATGCAAACATCTCATTTGCTCTTCAAACAGAGGATGGCCAAGTTGGAACTTGCCAAAAAAAGTACACCACCCAATCTTATGGACTGAGGGGGCAAAAGTTCAATCGTTACCAAAATGACCTCAAATCATGGAGGTAGCTGAAAGGTTTTCACTCGCGATCCGCAAACAGATCAACTGAATGTGAGTGAAACACAAACATTTCAAAATGAGTCCCAAGCTCCTGGGAAGCTGTTTTCTGGTAAGCTGTCGAAGGCTGGCGTGTTCAGGCCTCGTGCGTGTCAGAGTTGCGACACAGCGGAGGGACTGGACGGAACATGTTGGGTTACTGGAAGTTCCAAAAAAAAAAAAAACCTCAACAAAACACACACATCCTGTTGCAAGTGTTTTTGTGTGCCACCATCCCTGCTGGTGGATTGCGCCCACGCTGCGCTACACGGTGGCAAACAACATTCCACTCTTCTGCTTCCAGCTGTTGCTGTACAAAGTTAACCCTTAACCCAAGTGCGCCCGCCGTTTTGCCTTTGGAAAGTGAACGTTTTCATTCGATAGGCGCGGCTCAAACACCTGTAGGGAATTTTGCTGTTTAGCTCCTTGTAGAGAACAGTAAGCTGCGCAAGTCGGTACCGAAACAATGAAAAGTTTGGACAAGTGTATAGAACTGAAATGACACCCAAAAGGACAATATGCCATTTGTGTGACCAAAATGCCAAATAGCACAGCATGACATCCAACGGTGTTTCCAAACTTTCGTTGAGCCAAGGCACATATTTTATCCATGAGAAAAAAAAAATCTCATATCGTGACAAATTGCCTCAATTTTCACTCATCTAAAACATTTGTTTTATTTTCTTGCTACACGTGCTGCGAAAAGCGACGACATCCGCAAGCCTGAGGCTGACCACCACCATTACAGTCGAAGACGTATGGCAGGAGAGCAACGTACTGTTCCTCCTTCCTGTCCCTGGGGCAATATGTTCTGCAACGGCGTGCATGATGTGCCGTTTTTTTAAAAAATTTTGTGTGTTCATCAAAAAAAAAAACAAATTTTTTTGTCTTATTTTCTCATTTGTATTTTTGTTTGTTTTGTACAACCGGAGCCTGGTGAAGATAACCATTATAGACAATGGATGGATGTAATTCTTTAAAAATTGTTTCATTGTATTAAAAAAAAAAAAATCCATTGTTTTTGTAGTTCTTATATTTTTGTATTTTATTCTACAATTTGTTTTTGTTTTTCAGCCAAGACATCTTTATATGTTTTGTTAAATTTCGTAATTGCTCAACGTTTCTGAAAACATAATTTCAATCTTTTTTTGTTCCTCATGAATTTTTTTTAACAAGTGTACCTTTTTCATCCGAAAGTTTTTTTTTGCACAATTGTAATATGCTTATATTTTAAATATTTTTGTATGTCTTTCAATTTTTCCACTGCTCTCGTCATTGCACAACGTTTTAAAGATTTTCCTTTCAAAATTATAAAATAATTTTTCATGTATTTTTTAAATATATTAGCATATCTGAGTATGTTTGATCAAATATTTACTATTTATTTATTTATTAATAAATAAATAAATAAATAAATAATGTTATAAATAATAAACAACAATTTATTTATATTTGGTCATATAATATCAAAATGTTTTCTAATATTTATCTATCATTTATGCAGACGAAGAAAGGCAATTTCGAACAAGCCACTTTACAAGCCACTCTGCCACCGACTGGTGTGGCATGCACATAACAGCGCATGCCCAGGGGATTGTTTTGACAACTTTGCTCAATTGCGACAGCCATTTTGTGTCGACATCCGGGAAAAATCGGCTGATGTCTGGCCGCTAATAACCTGGCTGACTTGTCCGAAATGGAACGGCTGGGGGGGCAACGTCATCCGACGTTAGCTCAGACGGCCGTTGACACACTCCCCGCCACCCCCCCTGACTTTGTTGTTTTTCACTTTGTCAGGCCTTTTACTGTAGCACCTCATCACTCTCACTTCCTCTTCCTTCCCCCGTTCGGTCTTACAAAAGAGTTTTTGTTTCAATTCCTCTGTGAGAAAAATCACAACAACAACCCCCCCTCACAAAACAACGAATCCATGTCAACAATTCAATCGAGGAAACCGCGACACCGCACAGTGGGGAGGGTTTCAAAAGCAACAGCAAATCTCAAGGTGCCGTGTTTACAACCTAGAAAACGTGAGCTTTTTGGGGGTGGGGGCGTTCCGCGGGGGTGTCACTAGTGAGTAGGTAACAGTTACCCACTCCAGCGTGTCAGGCTGGGTTATCATGTGTTATCACGACTCGGTGCTAATTACCCGAGCGAGCCAACTCCACTAATCTTTATTCCTGTCCAAAAGTATCTCAAAGTCCCAAAGGGCAAAGGACCACGACACGTGTGACGCATGACACACACACAAGGTTGTCTCTATGTCACTTTGCAATGAGGACACATGCACATTGGGGCATTTTGCGGTTCCCGGAGAGCATCGTGCCTCCAGCGGCGTCATCTGCACTGTCTCATCAAAGTCGCCCAATCAGAACTGAATAAAAAAAAACAAAGTTTGACAAAGACCTCAGTCTTATTGTGCTAACTTCTTGCGTTTGACAAGTAATCAAGCAAAACGATTGCGCGTGCCCTCCCCTGCAGACCCCAAAGTGAGATTGAAGGGGGCGGGGGGTTTTGTGTGTGTGTGTGTTGGTGCCAGACCACGAAGGTGCCGACGGTGGCATTTGCATGAGAAAGCCCAAGGAAAGGGCTGACTTGACATCCTGCTGTCACTTGCTATTTCGCTTCACATGTGGCCACTTGAGGTTGCGGGACAAACGTTGTGGAGATTCAACACCTGCCGAGGTGGTAAAATGGAGGGAGGAGGGGGGGGCAAATTATCCTGGGAGACGTCTGCAGGAAAGCACAATATCTTCATCTAAAAATTAAATCAGCAAGGTTGCAAGTGTGTCAGAGTGGTGAAGAAGACCATTTCGGGATTCCGTATGCGAAATTTGATTGACAAGGCAAGACGAGACGTTAGACCAGAAAGAGTTAAGCATGAGTATAAAGGGGAAAAAGTGCCCTGATATGACGCCAATTTTTTTTAATGTGTACATGTTATGATTTCGTATTGACAGTCGAGCAAAAGATCACATGTTCAATGAGAAAATAGAAACAATAAATTCCACCAGGCCAATTCTGACCACATTTCAACAATTAAAATCATTCGAATTGTTCCTCGTACAAGATTCAAATTTTGAGAGGTCTTTTGATTTTTGAGAGCTGTAAGCTGTGATCAACAAAACACATTTTTTTGTGGGGCGGGGGGTGCAGGGGCGTCAGGAAGTTTAAACTTAGCAGTCAATCAACTGTCTGGGTTTCTCTTTTTTGAATTGAAATTCAGCTGCACAAGCGGCATAAGTAAGGACCAGCGTCATTTAAAAGTCATGACAAAGGTCACGAGGTATTTTGATGCGACACCGTTTTTGTCCGGGTGATTCATTGTCATCTCATGCGTAGAGAGGCCTGGCTTCAGCATGATGCAAGGAAAAAAAAATCTCTTTGTGTTTTAAGGTCGTCGGCACAAAAAGGCATTTTCTGCCCCCTTGCCCCCCGACATTGTCATGCTCCTTTTGTTCTTGACTTGAATTTTTTTGTGAGCTAAACCAATTGCAATTCATCTCCAGGGTTGTTGCAAATGCTGCTGGTGAACGGAGGTGCCGTCAAATATAATCAAAACACGGAAATGACATCCAGGCATTCGATTGAATTTCGATCACTGCATCCACAGCCACAAAAGGGGAAAACGCTCTCATTGTCATTTTCTTCACAATGTTCAACCTCGTGGATTGTCACTGATCCTCCCGCCTTCCTCAGGCTATGAAGTGAAAATTTCGTGAATTACCACGATGACATTTCCACTTTTCCTGAAGAACTTCCGATGTATTTATTTCCTCTCCGGTTGCCAAATACAAACGAATGAGTGAAAAAGCACACGATGGTCTACTTGCAAATCAGAAATTAAACTGGCACGGCTCATCATAGCTCAATAAATAAAACATTTACTAAACTAGGTCGGTTAAAAAAAAACTATAATTAAAATGATGGGATTTAATAATATTTAAAGAAGGTATTAATAAAACGAAGCTACAATGTGATTTCTTTTTTTTCCCCTCGCAAATTGCACGCGAAAGCTTCAAGCTTGTTCTCCACGTTGCGCAAAGAGTGCGTATGAGGAACGGACGCGCGCACGCAGGTCGAGAACTTCGGACGCTCCACGGCGTCGTGGAAGAGCAGGAGGGGGACTGGTTTGCTGGGGGGGTGGGGGACCGTTTTAGGTGAGACCGGGGGGAGGGGGGGAAAGTAGGAGGGGGGAGGGGCGGTGGTAAAAAAACATCAACTCCAGTAAAAATTTGGCATATTATGGTCTATGACTCATCATGAAGTTGTTTTTTTGGTGCCCCTTTCCAGGTGTTTCTGTCTGCAACTGACCATGAAGACTGTAGCTCTCGTCCTCGCCCTGGCAGTCCTCACTGGTAAGCTTTTTTTTTTTAATGGGCTTTTCATTAACTACATCGCAGTCAGCGATTCCAAACCTTGACCAAGCCAATGCACACGTATTTTGCACGATACAAACGTCCAAACAAGATGTCACAGTAGACTGAAGTAATGGTGATCTTCCCTCAAATCAATACTCTACCTTTCACTATACGTCGCCCACATCGAGAGATGAACAAAGTTATGTTATTTAGAGTAACTAAAAAGGTTGGATAATTCCCCAATATGCACGATGGTGATGTCTGGTGGCGCACTCATGTGCTTTGGAATCACTGATATGTATATTATTGACATGTCCGTGCCAGGCTGCCACGGCCGTGTGGTGCGCCAGGCCGACGCCACCCCGGACCGCTGGGTGGAGACCGTGGACCGCTTTTGGCAGTACGTCTCCGATCTGAACCAGAAGGCCGATGGAGTCCTGCAGACCATCAAGACTTCGCAGCTCAACCGAGAGCTTGAGTAAGTCCCTCGTTGTAGCGCCACTGAGGAAGTGGGCTTCATCGGTAAAGCGTACCCTTTAACTCTTCTTACTTCTTAACGAATATAGTATGACTAGCTTATTAACTAGTAATAACTAAATAGAATTGCGATGTACAAGTCCAGTGAACCCTGACTATTTGCCACAAAGAGTGAAACCCCATGAATAATTGAAGCCCCCCCCCCCCCCACTCCCACCCCTTCAAAATGGGTTTGTGATTTTGTACACATAACACAGGATGGCAGCAGAGCACTTAAACTGGACACGCATCAACAGCATGCGTCAAACATGTAAACAAATTACCAACCCATGGTAAATGGCTGTCTTGAGTAGTTAAACTATTCATCACAAAGCAAACACCTCAACATGAGGCTCATTGAGAGCATTCATTAGCATACTTGCTTGAATGACACGCCGGCAAACCACTCTTCCAAAAAATATGCCAATTGTGCCGGCTGGAAAACACTTGTCCATCCCAGTAGACTGTTTACTGGAAATATTTAACAAAAACTACGTGTGTATTGACTCAAATGGCATCATTTTGCCTTGCAAAAGTCTGTTAGCCTAATACTGACGCACAATGCTAAATGCGCTAGATAGACGGGCTTGCAAAACTAGCCTTGTTCTTGCTGTACTGCTAACAATTTAAGCAACAGAACTGCAGACAGATTAGATTAAAAAATATACCATCGACAGAGCATCTTTGTGTTCCACCATTAAATATATGAGTATTAATATACTGACCTCTGGTGGCCAAGGTGAAGATCAGAAGGAGAGACAAAATCTCAAATTCTTTTTAAAACTTCTATTTCATATTAATTACAGTACTTTGTATCAAGTACAACAATGTAGAGGGGTGGTGTTTGTGTTTTATAAACATATATACATTGGTGAAAGCGCGATATAAATCAGGATGTATTGTATTGTACAATATACAGTACATCTACCTCAATACATGTAATCCCACTGAATGGATCCAACTCAAATCGTTCTACTTTAAAATCAAATCTGTACTCCAATCGCATCGAAAGGAATTGGATTCATCTTGTGAACAGGCCCGTCTCCTCTTGTTTGGCAGCACGCTGATCACGGACACCATGGCCGAGCTGAAGACGTACAAAGACAACGTCCAGGCCAAGCTGAGCCCCTACGCCACCGCCTCCGCCAACCAGCTGAGCACCGACATGCAGCTGCTGGCCAGCCGGCTTCAGAAGGACATGCTGGAGGCCAAGGAGCGCAGCGGCACCTACCTGGCCGAGCTCAAGACCATGGCGGAGACCAACTCGGGCGACGTGCGAGGCCGTGTCAACGCCTATGTCAACAAGCTGAGGAAGCGCCTCAGCAAGGACACCGAGGACATCAGCAAGTGAGTTGAAAGCCAGGCTTCCAAGTGCACGCCAAGATATTTTGGAACGTCACCGACCGATTTTTACAACCACCCAAACGTGCTCAAATCTGCGGCCCATTGTCTGTATTTTACATTTATCGGCCCGGATCAGGGAATAATTTGCTGTCGCGTTTCACATCTGGCACTGTCACCACCGACTATTTTCTGAACATTCTGAATCGCAACGTGATTGCTCAGGATGAGTTTTCTGACATCTGATGATCCGGTTGTTGCTGACTATGAACAAAAGGGAGGGAAAATGCGCAAATGTGGTAGAGCTGGCTTCTATGATTGTCGGCCGCCGACTACTTTCACCGTTTGGCTGATCTGGGAAGAAAATCACTCTGACATTTAAAAAAAAAAAATTAATTAGGTTTCAATAGTTTTGTATTGATAGTTTAATTATTTTTAAAAATACGTCTATTTTGTATCAGTTTTAGTATTAGCTTTAGTTTTTTAAATTAGAGCGACAGTAAATTTGTCAATGGTCACGAAGTAATATATTGTGCAATTAAAAAAAAAAAAAACAACAAAAAAAACTCACCTTCTTCTGTACCGACATACAGCAACACCAAATAAATACATTGCAAATATTACGATAGTTTTAGTACGTTTTATAGACACAAGATATAGTGAGAGTCACACGGAAAAAGTTTTTTTCTTGAATTGGCTGAATTAGATTTAATCTCGTGGTTGCACGCATTAAAATGATCTCGGCTCAGATACATTTTTCATGTACCCCACTTAAGATATTCACAAGTCTAACTCGACATGTCTTCCTTCACAGCATGGTAACCACCTACCTGGGTGAGTTCCAGTCACGCACCGCCCAGAACCTGGACAGCGTGAGGCAGCAGGTGGAGCCCTTCGTCCAGCAGGCCGGCGACACCGCCTCCCAGAAGATGTCCGACCTCTCCACCGTGCTGAGGACCCAGGCCAAAGGTCTGGGCCAGCAGCTGGAGAGCCAGGCCGAGGGCCTCAGAACCCAGCTGGAGGCCGCCGCCGAGGAGATGCGCATCTCCCTGGAGGGCAAGATCGACGAGCTGACCAAGCTGTTCGCCCCGCTCACCGAAGAGATCCGCGAGAAGTTCGACACCATCGTGGAGTCGGTCAAGGAGACCGCCACGGCTTAATGGCTGACACTTGGGAGGGGAAGCTGGGCGGCGGTTTGACAGACCTGGGAGGGAGAAGAAGGAAGTTGAGAGTTACTGAGTTCCACCGTCACTTTGTTGCGCTCCGGTGTTCGTCAGTTGAGTTTGTTTGCTTGTAAATAAACATTCACCGAGTGGGCCTTATTTCGATGCACCAAAATGCTTTTCGTTTCGAGCCTTTCACTTCAAGTAACACCCCCCACCACCCCTACCCCCGACTGCAGACTCTCATAGCTGGATGCGATAATAACAATCAGCCACTAGGTAGCGCTGCCTTGCTTCTTGTAGCTTGTAACCCATTAAGCGGTCCCATTGGACGTCACGCTGCTGCTTGCTGTTGCCAGTTAATAAAGAAGTCAGAAAACACCAAACTCTTGTGTTTGCTTTTTTTTTTCCGTCTTCTCCACACCAGACAGGAAAGAGATACGATATACCTCACAAATTAGAAGACAATGGGATTTAAAATAAAAAATACCAATAATAATAATAATAGAGGTGTGTATCTTGTTTTTTTTTGGGGGGTGGGGAGGGTTGTATAACAGTTCATCTGAGCTTCACCCGACCCCACCGCCCCCACACCCACCTTTGTCCAACAATACTGATCAGCAGCAGCCTATATAAGTGACGAGCAACCACGGGAAAACTAAAGGCGGATCCATTGCTTCAGGTGAGATGAGGAAGACAAAAAAAACAAAAAAAGTCAAATTTGAATTTTCCATCGCACAACATTTTTTTTTGTATTGATCAATCAATGTGAGGCAACAGGCTGGCCTGGCCATTAGCACATCTTGCAGTTTTGAGGTACCAAGTTGGAATGATTGATAAGGGTTGTTTATCTACCGAATATGTGCCCTGTCATTGTCCAGGATGTCTCGGCCAAAGTGAGCTGCAATGAACAAATTTTGTTGCACTTTCCAGGTGGAAATGCTGGCAGCGAGCATGAGGGCTTCAGCGTTCATTCTTTCCCTGGCAGTCCTCACTGGTACGCGTTTGTCAGTACAGTACAGCAGGGAACGAGAGGAACGAAGTGAATGGTGTACATTCGTATTCTGTCCAACTCAGGCTGCAGTGCCCGCGTGGTGCAGCAGGTTGCCGCCCCCGTGAGCAAATGGGAAGAGGCCGTGGACCAGTTTTGGCAGCATTTTGTGAAGCTGGGCAACATAGACCAAGGGGATGTGCAGATCCCGGATTTCGGCACAAAGTTCGAGTAGGTCCGACATGCACCATCATGGATGAGAGCTGGGGCGGTCTTCAGAAAAACGAAATCAGTTCAGTGGTTGTCGAAACAATTAGGTTATTATGAAATAAATAAATACAGAGGCATACTCGCACTAGCAATGCCGTTAGTTGACTGCATAGACGTAAAGTACAATTTGAAATGGCTAAAGTATAATTACAAACCAAATATCTACTGAGTAATTACATTATAATAATTAAAAAAACGTATTTGTATCAAAATAATTTGAAATGTAACAATAATAACCAACGTCGTGCCAATTCTCCTCTTTGGGATTTTTGGGGGTACTGACCTACTGTTAGTGGCAGAAAGAGTCACCCCATTTTCTGTTTTTGCAATCAGGTCAAATGCACGTGTAATATAAAAATATCACTTTCGTGCCAGCGCTGGGCCAGGAAATGATGTTCAAGTGAGGGGAGAAGCTTCATTTAGTTCAGCCATAGCCATGTCTAATAGAAAAAAAAGGTGCTGGCCTGCCATCTCGTGGTGTCTATCAGCAATTACAGCCATTTTGGTTAAGTGGAGTTTCACTATTTGTGGCAGGGTGCTGTCCCTATTGCTATTTGTGCGGGTAGTTAATTAGCTCGTGATTACAATGTAATTACAGTAAAATTGACAAATGTCAAATGTACTGATTAGTTAAGGTACTACTGCATTGTTTAATAAATAACTGATGGTGATAATCAAAATTCGAATTACACATATTTCATTATGTGTTGTATTTGATCTCAATGGACTGTAGAAGTGGTTGTTAGTTCATGTTTTCGTCGACCTCTAAACAGGTTATAAACTTTATAATCTCTTTTTCAAGAGTTACCGGTTGTCTGTGCTCGTGAATGAAAAGCTCAGGGTCACCTTGTCACGCACAACCTTGTGTCAACTGCTCGCAGTACATTGATCACTGCCAGTATGTACCAGCTGACGACATACATAGACAACATCTCCACGGGCCAGCTGAGCTCCGACAGAGACTTGCAGCGCCTCGTCACCAGACTGAAGGGGGACATGCTCAACGCCAAGGAGTATGGCATCCAGTCCATGAGGCAGCAGACCAAGAGCATGGGGCAGCAGGACTTCCATGATTTGCAAAGTGACATCAGAGCCTTCACCACTGCGCTGAGGCACCTCCTCGACAAGGACATCCAAGACATCCGCAAGTATGCCGAATGAGAGGTCGCTTAAAAGAAAAAAAGTTTTCAACTTTTAAACGAGCTTCATGTCCAGATACCTGAGCGAGCAACACAACTCCCAAAACCCAGACACGGGGGAGTCCTTCGTCCAGCAAACCGGCAACCCCACCTCCCAGAGGAAGGCCGGAGGTCTGGGCCTCCAGTGGGAGAGTCAGGTCGGGGGTCTGGGCCAGCAGCGGCGGAACCAGGATGAAGTCCTTGGCCAACAGCGGCAGAACCAAGATGGAGTCCTGGGCCAGCAGTGGCAGAATCACCATGTAGTCCTGGACCAGCAGCAGCAGAACCAAGATGGAGTCCTGGGCCAGCAGTGGCAGAATCACCATGTAGTCCCGGGCCAGCAGGGGCAGACCCATGATGTAGTGCCGGGCCAGCAG